CACGATCTTATCAGCCATCACCGAAGTGAGATCTGTGTTGACCACCCTTCATGATGCCATACATGGACAGAAACAACTTTGACTGACTGGCCAGTCCATCGGTCTTATTAAAGGAAAAGCACTCTTACTCTGGGACTTACCGCTCAGCAGATCCTCTATTCAGCTAACTACAGGAAAGGTCCTCACCGGCCTTTTTCGCACACTCTGTGCCCATGCTTCCTCATCAAATGAAATCTCATCAGGGTAGGGTTCGGGGTGTAGGGTTTGGCGTCGAGGAACCTCACCAGAGATTCCGTAAACACACTCGGGCCTCTCTTTGTGCTGCTTCACAGAGCCATGATGAGAGTTCCGCTCCTCGCCCTGGTGGCCGTGTGCCTGATGGTTGCTGCCTCAGCCTTTGTGCAGAGGCCCGCAAATGCTCTCAGCGGCAACATCCTCAGGCAAAGCGCCAACCGACGAGCTGTCGAAAGAAGGGTCACTCACTCATTCACTCTATCTCACACTGACCACGTACCGTTAGTCAAATAATGAGTGCGGTTCGTGTGTGCGGTGGATGTGTTGGTGCGTTGCAGACAAGTCCGCAGATGGTGTTGGACAGCGCGACCCTCGACAGCGCGACGGACCCGGCCTTCCTGGACATGCTGGGTGCGGGGTTCAACGAGCTGATTGCCTACAAGGGCAAAGTTGGCAATATGGAGGCACCGACTGGGTTCAGCGACATCGGTACGCACGTGGGTGGGAGTGGGGTGCCATGCATAGACTCTGACCACCCACTAACCGCTGGTGGAGTGATGTGCGGCCGTGAGGCATGCCTGTATGGGTGTATTCATGTATTCTTGTCAGGTCCGAAGCTGTTTGTGCCCATCTTCTGCCTCTTCATCCCCGTTGTCGCTATGGGATTCGGTCAGTCAGTCACCTCACCCACACAGGCAGACGGGCAGACAGGCCCACAGACAGCCAGACCAGCCACAAGGCACATCTGTGTGTCTGCTTCTGGATATGGATCTGTCAGGCTTCCGCACGCTGACCGCAGAGGACTGAGGAGACCCTCTCTAGACGACGCTGCATGCCTGCCTGCCTGCCTGATCTGTCTGTGTGTGAATCTGTCAATGAGGTTCCGAGATGCAAGGGACGCGTGTAGCGCTCCTTCTGCCATTGATGCCGTCAGCAACTGCTTGCCGTGAAGAGCTTACTGGGGCACACACGCGCTCAGCAAACTCTCGAGGGGCGTTTGTGAACGTGATCAATGCAGGAGATGTGGTCGACACGTGGCTGAACGACGATGCGACTGTTTTTGCAGTGGAGTTGTTGGCCTTGTGCATGCCATGCATCAGTCAACACAGTCAGTCAGCTGGTGTGCCCAGCTCAATGCAGTGAGAGTGTAGAATATGGGCCGCGAGGGACTCGAGACTCTTTTGATGGATGGATGAATGAGAATGTCAGTCACCACACATGGACGTGTCTGTCTGTACAGAACTCAGCAGCAGAGGGAAGCACAGCACGGAAAAAAGATCAATACAGAAAGTGCTGCCCTGCCAGCCTCCGCAAGCACTCAATGCACCCACGTGTCAGTTGGCAGTCACATCATCGCAGTGGCCATGTGCCTCACAGTGGTCAGCCACAAAACTCCTCAGGGACGCCTCAACAGCGCCGACTAGCTCGTACGTCGTCTTGGCCACCCTTCTGCCGTCGTCCGGCCTCCAGATCTGGAAGGTCGGCAGGGCTCTCGCCGCTGCCTCCTCAGCCAAGTCAGCCATCTCGTCCACATCAACCGACACAAACAGGCCCCTGTGCTGCTGCGCCAGGCTCCTGAACACTGGGGCAATGTGCTTGCATGGCTTGCACCACGACGCACCGACAGCCAGCACGATCGGCAGCCCGCCGTCCGAGGCTCTCTTGCACACGTTTTGCCATTCCTCGGGTGTGTGCACATCCACGCAGCCGCCCCTGCCGTCGCTGTCGGCCACTCTGCTGACCGGCCTGCGGCGAAGAGTGGCTCCAGCGGCGTCGTTTGTCGTCTCCTCTGTGTGCTCCGCAGGTGCGTCAGGTGGTGGGTTGCCGGACATATTCTGCTTTGTCATGGCGGAGGTCTCTTCAGCTTCTGATAAGAACACGACCGCAAGGGTAGTGGTGTGTTCGTATGTGTCAGAACAGTCGTCCGCCCGCACGCACCTTCGTATCCGCATTTTCGTCTTGCCCATCGGTAGGCAGGCTTGAACAGAAAGGCCAACAGGAGACCGACGTGCCTGAGCTCTCACACACGCGACCCAACAACTCACCACAGAGCCTGTTCAACTGTCTCGAGTATATTGGCTCACCAAAGAGGCACGCAAATCGGTCCGATGCAGATTATCATTACGACTCGCCAGCCGGGTCCGTCGGGTCCGTGAGCTGGGAACGAGCAGCCTGTGCGAGCTCGGACACGATCGCAGAACAGCTCGCAAATTCATCACCTCCGAACCGCTGCTTCATCACCTTCCTTCCGCCGCTTTGCACAGCTCACCACTGTTTGTACTCTGTGGGCTGCTTGCTGCAGCAGCTGCTGGGACCGGAGGTCCTAAGGCAAAAACCGAAGCCTTTGCACTGCACAAGTCACTGCACAAGGAACTACAATACATATTAGGGAGAAAGAGCCCATCGATGGCTCACCTGCAGCCGGACCGCCTCCCATCCTTCTTCCCCGACTCGCCTGGTGCCTCTGATGCCTTCACCTCGGCAGGCGCCATCGACCCAGAAGTCCAGCCACACCAGAACAAAGTGGAGTTCAGAGGATTCAAAATCGATGCAGTAAGCCACCCATGAATGCACTCGATGTCTGCGATGTGAATGCATTCGTGTGATGAATGAATGGGTGCTGCAGAATATGCCCTCCCGTCTCCTCGGCAGCCCTCAGCTTGGCGGCTCCATGTGGTCGACTGACTCATTAGAGGGCGATGCGGCCCCCCAAGAGACACCAGGAGACGTGGAAAGCCCTGACGGACAGCACAAGGAAAAGACCCTCGTCCCGCCACGAGCAGAGGGCAAACACGGGCGGCGGAGTGGCAGCAGTGGGCTCATTGCGTTGCCCTCATTCGCGGGCTCCCTGGACTCGGGACAGGAGGAGCCACCTGAAGCGGGGCCACCCGCGGCAATCCGGGATGTTGGTGCAGAGGATGCGACAGCGAAAGAAGACGCCGCTTCCCCGTGTCGCCCGGCAACAAGGAGGGAACTTCGATTCCAGAAATCCATGTCGGCCCACACGCTATCCATCCCAGAGACCTCCAGTGCGCCGGCAAGACGACACTCGGATGGCTTCCGCCGCCGCCGTCGGCCATCTGCACCGTCCCAACCTTCGCACGCTCGTTCCGATTCGCTCGGTGTCAAGCCGTCACACGAGGCGTTTCCAAGGCCACCAACGAGTCCGATGGACTTTTTGAAAAACGTGGCTTCGTCTTATGGGATTCAACTGAGCCCGTCGGGTACGCTTGATGACGAGTCGCCGGCAAGGCAGCAGCAAAGAGCCAGGACGGTGGCACAACAAGCTAGGAGGACGCCCCAGAGTTTGGCTGCGAGGGCTAAGTTCGCCAAGGCGATCCGCGCGAGCCGTGCAGTGACTCCGCCACCGACAATTGTCCAGGTGGTGGACCAAGCTGTGACGGAGGCATTGACGGCTCTCACGGCTGAAGCTGTCGCGGAATCCGACCTACAGAGCTGCCCAGTCTGCCTGGCCTTGTTCCAGCGATTCATCCAACACAGTGCGGCCCTGCAATCACTCTACTCGGTCCTCTCCAAATACTTGAGAAGCTCAGAGGCGGCGGCTGCAGCCAGCAGGGACGTCTTTGCTGCCCGCGATGGCCGACTGTGTCGGCTGCACATGATGTGTCTCCATCAGTACTTTGGCTGGATCGAGCTGCGACTCCAGCAAAGAGAGCAGCAACAGCAGCCAGACGACGATGTCATGTTCAAGATGAACAGACTGGAAAAGAAGTGAGGCACCAACCAATAATGACATGAATTCACTATTCACTCATTACATGCACAACACAACACAACCTCTCTGTATGATCGATGGATGTCATGATGCATCCCGGTGTCATCCAGGTGGCCGTGGTGGCGGGCGAGGTGGCTCGCGCATGTGGAAAAGGCGCTCGAGGGACGACGGAAGAAACTCGTCGACCTCTGCCAAAAGGCATTCCTGGACAATGCCAAGTGAGCACAGAGACAGCGCCCACCCATACCCCGTCCCGCTGGATGTCGTGCCTCTGGCGTCGTGTCCCGCTGCAGACTCCTAATTGACGAGTGGGACACTCAGTTGGCCAACCTGACGCGACACATAGAGAGGACCACATCTCAGCTACAAGCCAGGAAGCAGGCCGCCCTCGCACACCTCCGCGAAGCCCTGGAGGCCAAGCGCGAGGAGGCCAAGAAGCACATGAAGGCCTCCTCAGCCTTGCTGAGTGTGCGCATGGCCGCTCCACGGCTTTTGGAAAAGCACAGGTTCGCAGAGGCGGCGCGCATGAGTGACCTGTCCGAGCAGTTGGAGGCGCGCGACCGTGACAAGTACAATGCGGAAGTGGACCAGCGGCTGGCGGCCGAGTATGAGGTGGCGCGGCGAGAGGAGGAGAAGAGCTACAGTGCGGTGGTGGACAAGATGGATCGGTACAGGAAGGAGCAAGAGTCGCTGTTGATGCTGGAAAGACAACAGCTGGTCAACAGAATCAAGGCCGCACTCAAACGACTTGAGCGCACTGAGGTACGGACACATATCGTAGGCATAAACCACTGCACTGCACGGACGCTCCACGTTGTGTGCTCACTTATGTGTGTCATGTGCACAGGTAGAGGATGCCCGCAAGGTGATCGCTGCCTTCTCTCGCCACCAGACCCAGCTGGAATTACTCATCGAGAAGATCCCACGCCGAATGGTGACTCGCCGTAGCCCCAGGCCCTCCCTCGACGGCGGCCTGCGACCAGCCACAAGTGCCAAGCGCTACTTCACGTCCGTCTGCCGCGGACACTTTGTGGCCTTGGCGGTGGCTGCCACCGAAAGTCAGCTGGAGAGTCTTCTTGAGGCACGGTGCGGGCGGGATGCGTGTGCGGGGTGTGTGTTGATGGAGGCGGCGGTGAGGCAGGTGGTGCGGGAGCGATGGACGAGCGGGAGTGTGTCGAGCATCAGCGGCAGCGGGGACATGCACATGCATCAGCGGGTCGGCTCCAGGCCGCCCTCCTCCCTTCCCACCATCATCACATCCTTCTCGGCCGAGACAGCATCCACACACGACCGGCCCAGCACCAGCAGCTTGCCGGGCATCATCCACGTGAACCGTCCAAGTTCGGCCAAGAGTGGCTTCACGCACTCTGACCTGACGAGGGCCAGCAGCTCGAGCTCAAGCGCCCTGCCGCTGCCGCAACCGATGCAACACACAAAGTGATATGGATACATCCATCCTTGCTGGGATGAGTGAGTCTTTTGCTTTATTTGCTGGGGAGTCATGGTTGCTTGGTTGTCGAGCGCTGAGGGCTGTTGTATGTCGCGTGAAGCCACATCGGGGGGTATAATGGATGTGAAGCTTGACGGGACGGACAGAGTACAGAACCAAATGTGTGCACTGCACGGGACGGGTGTCATCTTTCATCGCATGGCCAGCCAGCCAGCCAGCCAGCCAGACAGACGGGTCCAGTCCAGACGCACCGCACACATACTGCATCAATGAATGGAACAGAGAGATTCACCAGCCCGCGCCAGAGATATGCTTTGTTTCACATGAAAAATACGAATGAATGCCGACATGCATTGCGCGCTATGAGGGGTCCCCGCTGGCCTGCTCCAGTGACTGCAGGGGATAGACAGACCAGGAAGAGAAGACGGGAGTTTGCGCACGTCTGTCTGTCTGTATTTGTGTGTGTAGGCGAGGGACCTACCCCAGTCGGCTGTGGCGGATCTGTATATGCGTCGAGCCAGCTCTTGAGGCCCTCAGGGTCACGCCGATACAAGGCTATCTGCTCGTGCAGTGCAAACAAACATGTCGGACACACACGCCCATCCATCCATCCATCCATCCATTCGTGTGTGTGAAGAAGTCGACTTGCCTGTTGGCGAATGGCTGGGTCGGTGTAGGTACCGATCCGCTCCAGCAGTCCCTCCAGCAACTCGCAACGACGGTCCTTCTCCGCAGTTGAGGGTTGCTGACACACACAGCGACCAAATGAAAAGCCAGGGAGGGTTGCCGAATTGCCAACCTGACTTACCTCTCCCTCCGACACACGAACACTATCACGATACTCTGCCAACTGAAGACCACAAATACATACACCCACACATACATACAGATACACAGGTGTCTACACACATACATACATGCGTTATACCCATACATGTAGATGAGATATGTATGTACCTGTTGGTTCAAGTCTCTCTTTTCCTTCTCCACCCTCTCGACTTTGGCCTTCAGGTGCGCTACGGCGTCCCCCTCCTCACCGGAAGATGATCGTGCTGAGACGCCACTAGCCTGCCACAGAGAGAGAGAGACGGAGCATACAAGGAAATGAGTGGGTGCTTTCCATCGAACAGCCCACCTTGAGCGCTGCGATCTCCTTCTCAAGGGCAGACACACTGAAACGCAGACAGACATCAGCTTTAAGGTATATCTGCGGCATGACAGGTATCTCTCCACCCTCACTGACACGTCTTGGCTGGCGGCTTTCTGCTGCGTGAGCTCACGTATCTCGTCAGCATGCTGCTGTATCCTAGACTCGAGATGCCGCTCCCTCTCGGTCCACTCCATCTGGCGACCATGGAATGGTTACATGAACCAACGGTGTAATGAAGTGTGTCTGCCTTGCCTGCAGTGTGTTCTTCTCAACGCTCCACGTCAGTGCGGCGTCAGCCACGTCGCCCGCCAGCCTCTCCTCCAGCACACGCAGCTCATGCTCCTTGCCTGCCAACGCGCCACTGCATGATGGATCCATTGCACACAATTAGGCAGACTTCACGACAGCAGCTGAAGTGTAAGTAAGTGTCTCTGTGTGTGCCCCCTTCCTCACCTAAGCTCCTCGTGTCTCTGGTTGCATTCCCGCATGAGTTTGTCGTAAGCCAGGATGGCCTCAGAGAGCCTCGCTCTCGTCTTGGCCAGCTCACCCATATCAGCGCCTGCCGTCCCGTCATCCAGCTGATGCGCACGGGCAGTGCGGGTGCGTCTGTACATACACGCAGGCCAGGCACACTAGATGTGGGGCGTTGCAATGCATGGGTCTATCTAGTGGCTGGACGGACGACTGACCGTCGCTCCTGCTCCAACTCGGCCTGCGGCAGAGACAGAGAGAGGAAAAGATTAGCAGGCAAGGTGTACGGTACGTGTCTGCCCTAGTGCAGACCAGACCTGCAGGCACATCTTTTCCTCCCGAATGGTCTTATATGATATTCTTGCGGTGCTGGCCGTGTGAGTCAGCTCCTGACATTCATTCATACATGGAACACAGCGAAAGTAAGACAGACAACGTTGCGTGCATCTGTAGGCAGCGCGTGTCCGTGCAGCTACCTGGATGGTCTTGTGGCTGTCCCTGTGTTCCTCCGCCAGCTTCCTCATCGCCGCGTTTAGCCGATCTACGTGCTCCTGAGCACGCTGCTGCCCTTCGCTTGCAGCCCTCAGCTGCGCTTCTAGCTCCTTCACACGCGCCGCCTCGTCACCGCCCCTACCCCAGCCGAAATACGTACCAATGCCACTCCCTGGAGATGCCGCCGATTGTGGTGCCGCAGGCGGCTCTTCTCGTGTCCACCCTTGCTGAGTCTGGTGAACTCGCCCCTCTGTACGATAGATGTCCTGGTCTGGGCCCGCTGCCGCCCGGGAGCCCGCGTGTGCCGGGAGGTCCGACTCTTGTGTCGTCTTGGGGGGGAAGAAGAGGCCGCTGAAGATGGAGGTGGACGCCGAGGGCTGCGATGGGGCGGCCGAGGGGTAGTAGAGGTCATGTTTATCGTCGACGTGGCTGGTTCGGCCCTCAACAGGCGAGGGGCTGTGCAGCGTCAGGCGCACTGCACACATATGGATGGCAGCCGAAACGTATTCCAGACAAGGATGCGTCACACACCTCCTTTGTTCATTTGTCGACCTGAAGGCTGGGTGGGGGCAGGCATGAGGGCGCTCCTGAATGCCCCATCATAGGTCGACAGAGAAGCGGGCTGGGCGTTCAGCCCCGGCAGGAAGCCGCTCGTCCGCAGAGCCAGACTGAACGTCTCGCCGCTCGGGAGAGGCTGCCTGACATCCGTGCCGGCTTTGGCCCTCAGATATTGCGATGCAGAGGGCACGTGGATGTACACCTCAGCCGCGATGGTCGCCACGCCATCACGGAGCTCAACAAGGCTATCCGCATACTGCACAACACGCACGCACACACGATCCCATGGCGCAGTGTGTGTGCATGTGTGAAGTTACGTAGAAGGAGACGGTGAAAACGGGCAGATCTGCGGGGACGTCGATGGTGAGGGTGTCTGTGGGCAGGGATGTGAGGTGTCGCGTGTCGTTGGCCGTCTGGATGAGCCCGAACAGCTTGCCGTGCGGCAGATGGGGCGGGGGAGGGGGAAGGTTGGATGGACTGTCGACGTCCAACCTCACTCTACTGCTGCCAGAGCTCGTCGTGTTGCCCATCTTCTTTTTGGTGGTCGCCAGAAATTTTGCGAGCTTAAGGGGTTGACGTAAATTCAGAGGTGAAGATCTGCGGCGTTTTCTTGTCCAGGGCCTGTGTATCAGCAGGTCGGCAGGATGAGAAGCCTCCTGTCGGTGCCTTTGTTGCTGCTGCCATTGGTGGCGGCCGTCAGCGGCTCCCATGCGCATGGGCATCAGAAGGCGCGAGGCATGGCTGACGTCATCTCCCTTCTTGAGGGCATGCTGCAGTCGTCAAGGCAAAAAGGTACATAGATCGAAGGAGGCGGTTTTCCCCATCGGGATGCTCTTTGGTTGATTTGGTTGAAACGAATGTCACTTCAGGCAAGGATGAGGAGGCGACCTATCAGAAGTTCAAGTGTTTCTGCCACAAAGAGATCGAGCAGAAGGAAACACACATTAAACACGCAAAGTGAGAATGGGCTTTGCTGAAAGAAAGTCCCATACACTTCAATCTATGTTGCCCTATCTATTGGTGGTGGTGCCGTCCGTCAGAGACACCATCCCGGTGCTGTCTGCATCTGTGGGTGCGGCCAAGGCCGACGTCGGCACACTGTCGACGGAGATCGCTGATCTCACCAAACAAATACAAGGCAATGTAGAGGCGCGCAACGCCGCTGCAACCATGAGAAACAAGGAGTATGAGGAATACATGGCCTTCAAAAACGGTACGCACACACAGACACCCGGCTGCCTGCACTGCATCCATCTCTGCACCCATCCATTCATCCATCCATCCATCCATTCATTTGTATTGCCTGTGTTTCGTCGTCTGCAGACACGGAGGCCTACATCAGCAGCCTGGCGCAGGCAATTGCGACCTTGACGAACATGGACGAGGAGCCGCCCGCATTCCTTCTGAGGTCGCAATCATTGGCCAGGAGAGGCCTCACGGATGCAGCCAAAGGGGCACTGCGAGCCGTCAGCGAGCTCCTGGACGATGCACAGAAACAGGCATGTACTGTACCGACATGCGTTGAATGCTCTCCCCCCGAATCTGCCTTTTTCTTTGTCTCTGTCCGCTGTGCAGGTGGTGCTGTCATTTGTGTCGTCTGGCGCATCTGTGGCCCCCCACCTGCAGACATACAATCCGCAGTCTGGACAGATCATCGGCATCTTGTCTAACATGAACGACACATTCGTGCAAGACCTTTCTGCCGCCACCGAGAGGGAGAACAAGGCACAGACGGCACACAACTCATTCATGAGACTCAAACAGGTGCGTGATAGATGCCCGGCTGGGTGGGTGGGTGGGTGGGTGGGTGGGTGCGATGTGATGTGATGACCGCCCCGTGTCTGTATGAGCATTCTTTCAGAAGGCCCATCACGAGATGAGCGCGATTCTGGCCTCCAAGAAAGCCGACATGGCCACACGGTGGGTACATCAACCAGTGGGCAACCCTCAGTCTTGACGCAGAGGCTCTCTCTCTCTCTCTCTCCTGTGTATATGTGTGTGTGTGTGTGTGTGTGTGCGTGTGAGCGTGTGTCAGTTTGGGGGAGTCTTCTGACAGTCAGGGGGAGCTTGATGGCCTCACACAGGCCCTTGAAACAGGTGTGAATGCATCCATCCATCCTTCTGCATTATGTGTACGAGAGAGCCATCCAACTGCTGGCTGGTGGTGGTGCAGATGAGTCAACTTTGGCCACCTTGAAGGACCAATGCAACTCCCAGGCCAACGTGTTTGCCGAAACGACCGTGGGCACAAGAGACACAATGGCACACCGGACCGCTCATGTGTGTGTATGCATCTATGCAATGTATGAGTGTGCAGATGAAGCGCGCCAACGAGGAGGCGGCTATCAGCAAAGCCGTCTCTATACTCAGCAGCGACGAGGCATACCAGGCATTCTCCAAGTACACACACGCACACACATGACAGACAAATGCGCCAAATGCCTGCTCCTTTGCCACTCACTATGCACAAACAGGTCGATGGGGGGCGGCGACATGATGCTCATCCAGCGCAACAATGCCCACAGGCTCATTAGAACACTCACCCGCGCCCACCAGTCCAGCCCCCACCAGTCCAGCCGCACCCTTTCTCTACTCGACACCTGGGCACACACAGAAGACAAAACCAGAAACGAGGTCAGTCGCGCAGGCTCTAATCAGGACACCATTTGGCGCGTGCATACTGTATGCTCTCGCCTGTCCATATATCAGCTTGCCGCCCTCCTCTCAAGATCTGGATGGCGTGCCTTCTCCCAGCTGGCGAGTGCATTGGCGGCTGGCGGCCCGCTGGACAAAGTGAAAAAGATGATAACGAAGATGCAAACAGTGCTCGACAAAGATCAAGGAAAGGTAGAAGGCAGGCAGGCAGGCAGGCAGACACGCACGAAGACCAGTGCCTTCGTCTGTCTGTGCCTGCCTTGCGCTGCCAGGACGACCATGCCAAGAGCTGGTGCGAGACAGAATACAGCCCGGTCAGCCGAACGGACACCGACAGACATTAAGAATACGCACATATCTACCTTTGCCCTCACCCTCTCCAGAACAACTCCACCCGTGCCGATCTGACGACACAAATGGCACTGCTGGAAGCACAAATAGACCAAATAGAGGGAGACATCGGGACGGTATGAGGGATGATCCGATCCACTGGTGTCTTCCCTACTTATGATGCGTACGTACCTATCTGTATGTATGTATGTGCAGAAGGAGGGCGAGAGGTCGGCTGCAGTGGCCGCCCTCGACAGCAACCGAGAGGCGCAAGTGTCGGCCGAGGCTACTCGCAAGGCCATGTATGAGCAGTACCAGCAAGATGTCAAAGGTACGACAGGCACGCGGGTGGGGTGATGGGTACAAACACACACACACATCATCAACCAGGTCTCCATCCATCCATCCATCCATCCATCCATCCATTGTACGTACAGATTACCAGAAGACAATGGAGCTGCTACAAGAAGCCGTCAAGACTCTAAAGGCATTCTACGACACACTATAGACACAAGAACGTACCATAAATCGACGGATAGATAAATGGAAGGATCCATGACATGACCATCCAATCAAACCCTTGTACCTTTGTCTTCCTCCAGAGCAACAGAGTGAGCTGTTGCTGCAGCGGCGTGAGCAGCGTGTGGCGATGGGTCAGCCCATCGATGGGGTCGAGCAGCCACCTGACACACCACCTGACGCACTCGATGCCACATACAGTAAGAAAGACTTGACCCGGGAGGATTCGGTGGATGAGACCGACGCCACACTGTCTGCCTCTCGGCTTGCAGGAGGCGAGTCGGACGCCCAAACTGTCATCTCCACACTTCAGTTTCTGTACGATGAAGTCGGTGATATTGGCTGTTGCTGTGGGTCTCTACATCTCTCGCCCATTCGTCTGCCTGTTGCTTCACTTAACTCAGGCCGAATCGAGCCTCAAATCGGCCGAGAGCGAGGAGGAAGCCGCCAGGACGGCATATGAAGCCATGATCAAACAGGTCGATCACTTATAGCATCCCAGCACATATACGTGTCGTGTTGTGTCCTGCCTGTCCTGCCTTCTATGCGTATAGCTCAAGGAGGCCGAGCAGTTGGCTGTCGAGGCGATAGCGGCCAAGGACCAGGAGATCGCACAGTGTGAGGAAAACAAAATGGCAAAGCAACAGGAACTGCACAAGACAAAGGAGGTAAGTGGGAGGCGGGGTTGGTTGGTGCACATATAGCTACATTGTGGGTCGATCGACAGAGGGCATTTATTGTCGGCCCCATGGCTGTCTATCTGTGTGTGCCATGTGTCATGTATCATGCTTGCAGGATGTGTCGGCGTTGGACAAGTACAGCACGAGCATCCGCCCGAATTGTGACTTCATTCTCTCCAACTATGACACACGAAAGCAGCAACGACAAGCAGAGAAAACGGCGCTGGAAGACGTAAGCACGCACACACACAAGAGCGATGCCTGCCATGACTGTTTTTGTCTCGGCGTGTGCGCGTTCCCTTCAAGGTCCTGACCATCCTGGCCCAGATTGGATGAGGCCAGCTGCCGACATTTTCGTGCATTCCTTGCCTTCCAACATACGACACTGTGTCCGTGTGCATGCTAGTGAGTAACTATCGCCAGACAAATGGAAAGTATCCCTGCACCGATTGCTGGACTTCTAAGCTCGCACAGCGCGTGGACTCTACAGCTCAGTGCGCTGAAAGGGTGCATTCTCCTTCATTCTGCTGCCATCGAGAGGTCCCTGCCGCGAGAATGTCGATGGAGAGCCTCCAGAAGCATCCGTTGCGGCCACAGCTGAAAGGCAGACATCTGCTCACACTCAAGGAATTCACTGCCGAAGGTGCGCACACGGCACACGAACGGGCAAGAACCCCCATATCACCCTCCTGTGCCCACAGACAGACAGATGCACGCTTGTGTGACCTTTCTCTGTGTGTGATGTGGCGGATATACGTCAGAGATCTTGTATCTGCTGGATCTGTCTGCGGCGCTCAAGCACAAGAAGAAGACCGGCAAGGAGAGGGGAGATCTACTCGCAAACAAAAACATATGCCTCGTCTTCGAAAAGGACTCCACTCGCACACGTCAGTCAGTCGGCTGGGATGGGCTGCTTTCCAGAACGGCACACCACACGCCTAGCATTGCAATGGATGCTGTCTGTGTGTCCTGTCCTGTCCTGTTGTGTGTGTGTGTGTGCAGGGTGTGCGTTTGAGGTGGCTGCGTACGATGAGGGCTGCATGACGACCTACCTGCAGGGCTCCCACACGGGCAAGAAGGAGTCCATCGAGGACACTGCCAAAGTGCTGGGCAGATACTATGACGGCATCGAATTCAGGGGTGCTCTGCAGTCCGTCTGCGAAACTCTCGCACAGCACTCAGGTCAGCAAACGCCAAACACATCAGATGACATCCATCGACACACACGTTGTAGATGCGCTGGCCTCCCGTGTGTATGGTATGTGTAGGTGTGCCGGTGTGGAATGGGCTGACTGATGCGTTCCACCCCACCCAGATATTGGCCGACCTGCTCACCATACAGGAGCACCTCCTCTACGGCAACAAGAAAGGCACAGCTGGCCTGCCCAACCCAGCCACGAATGCATCTGCCCCACCCCCGCCACCGCCCCAGCTGCCCGCCGACCGTTTTAAGGGCGTCAAGCTGGTGTTTGTGGGCGACACCCGCAACAACGTGGCCATATCTTTGATGATAGCGGCTGCCAAGCTGGGCATGCACTACGTCGCCCTCGCACCAGAGAGCCTCTGGCCCAAGGGAGACGTTCTCACACACATGCAGGTGAGGTGGGTGGGCTGGGCTGGTGGAGACGAGCGAGATCCATCCATCCATCCATTTATATTATGGACACGTGTGACTGACACGTGTGGTACGTTACATGTATGTCATGAATCAGGAGGCGGCCAAGGCGACGGGCGGTACTATATCGTGCAGTGCTGACGTAGCGAGTGCCGTCAAGGGTGCCAAGATCATCTACACGGACGTGTGGGTGAGCATGGGGGAGGAGGCCCTGTGGGAGGAGCGCATACAGCAGCTCAGGGCATACCAAGTCAACATGGACATGATCAAAGCCACTGGTGAGTGAGTGAGTGAGAGGGGCGGGACGGGACGGGCAATGGAAGGAAGGACGGACCACAAGACACTGACTGCATGGGCCGGATTGTGTGTGTGTGTCAGATGAGGCTGATGTGATCTTCATGCACTGCCTGCCGTCGTTCCACGACCTGCAGACTGTCGTCGGCAGACAGGTAGGTACACAGGTACACACATAAATGGGCAGACAGGCAGGCACTCTCCATCCCGTGTGTGAGCCTCGTGTGCGCGTGGTGCGTGAGGCTAGGTTCGTGACAAGTACGGCCTCGAGTCCATGGAGGTCACCGACGAAGTATTCAGGTGACCCACACACCAATCTAATCGACATACAAAGAAAGCATTTGTGTGTGTCTGCGTTGCGCCACGGATGCGATGCGTGTGCGGTGCGGTGTGGTGTGGTGTAGGAGTGAGCACTCGGTGGTGTTTGACGAGGCGGAGAACAGAATGCACACCATCAAGGGCATACTCGTCGCAACCATGAGCGACAAGTTCTGACTAGCAGGGCAGACGGATTGGATTGTGTTGCAGGGCGTGGGTGCATTGCATGTGTGCATGGGTAAGTAAGGAGTGGAGTCAGTCAGTCAGGCATCCTTTTTAGATCTAGGGCAGGGGCTCCCGACTGAAGCCCTGTCACGTCACTCATGGCCATTTTTGATTGACACACACCACATCATGACATGCATTGCACATACGAAGAATGTATGTATGGTGTGCTTCAATGTCGATGGTCAGTGTGTTCTCCAGTGTTCCGCGACTCTCGGGAAGGTCACATGTGTGTGGTGATTTGAGCCGCCCGCACGTCACCTTGCCCCGCCGTCACGCTACCACTGGAAAGCGCATGAAACAACTGCAACCATGAATGGATGGATGGATGGATTGGATGGTGTGCAGTGCACGGCTGCCGGCGATTTTGAGCCCGCGGGCCTGCCTGCCTTTCTGCTTGCTTGATCCAGCTATGGATGTGTGTATTTGTCATGCGTAAGTGTGTTGATGGTGTCAGTGACTTTAATGCCATGTATCAATGAGATGAAGAGCATGCATTGAATTGCCAACACACGCGAGAGCGACAAGTCTGGTGCATTGCATGCCCACATCAAAATGAACGAGATGCACACTTGACGTGACATCACATGACAGGGGTGGGTGGGTGGATATCCTACACGGTGCGGTGTGGTAAAACCACGTGAACCCAACCAAACCCAAACCCACGTCGCCCCGCCCCGCCCAGCAGCTGTCAATTCGGACAAGCGTGGATGGATGGGTGCACTACCTACTAACTGCATGTAGAGCTACTCTACACGCACACAGACAGAGAGAGAGAAATGTGCTAGCTAGTTACTACGGGCGGCTTCCTTGATTGATTGATAGGTAGACACACAGGTCCCCAGCCAGGTATGATTCGATTCAGCCCCTGGGGCTTTCCAGTGTTGACACAGCTCGTGCGCCACACACATGTGTCCTGTCAAGCACCACTGACAACACGGGCAGTTGTTCAAGAGAGCATTGAGAGTGAGGAGAGGGAGCAGTGAAAACAGTCCTGCTCGCCGGTCCCAGTATGTATGTGTATGTATGGTACAACAAACAGCACCAGCAGCACATGACTGACATGTGTAAGTCTTGGCCAGCTACTTCGCTACGTTGTCGCCCATCGTGTCTGTCAGTCTGTGTTCTCTGTGTGCGAAAAAGGCCGGTGAGGACCTTTCCTGTAGTTAGCTGAATAGAGGATCTGCTGGGCGGTAAGTCCCAGAGTAAGAGTGCTTTTACTTCAATAAGACCGATGGACTGGCCAGTCAAAGTTGTTTCTGTCCATGTATGGCATCATGAAGGGTGGTCAACACAGATCTCACTTCGGTGATGGCTGATAAGATCGTGTCTCCTCAGAATGCTTTCCTTGTCTTTCCTTGTCTTCTCCTCTCTCCACCCGTTACACAGCAATATACCCTAGCTCACAAGCTCGCAGTGGTTCGTCTTGCCAAGCTGGCAATCCTGACACCCCCTCTCAAGACGAACCATCACGGCGTGTACTCAGGAAAAGAAAATCACGAAGAAAGCACAAAGGG